AAAAAAAACACTCATCAACTGTTAGTCCATATTCAAAGTATAGACAGCATGTAAAATAAAAGAACATGAAACTAAAACTTCAATCAAAACCATTGAGAATCAGAATAAAGTGATAGATTTTGCCAGACATGCAAGCACACACCTTTAATCCCAGTGCTCGGGAGGTAGAGGCAGAGGCTGGAAGATCTGAGTTTGAGACCAGCCTGGTCTATAGAACAAGTTCCAGGAAAACCAAGGATACATAAAAAAAGTGCTGTCTTGAATTTTTTTAAGAAAATAAGATAGATTTCCCTACATATTCTCAGTAAAAATGTCATTCATTGATCTAGATTATGTTTTGAAGGGATACACCAGAACAAGTTTTAATTAACATTGCTTCCTATATGTGACTTGATTTGTATCCTGTAGATGCCAAGTAAAGATACCTTAAAAATCAATTGCTCTGAAATTGGAGAAATAATAAGGTATATGGTCTTATTTGTGGTAGAACTCTACTAGTATTTAATTGACAATATGCATCTGTGTTTTTTAGAGGTGTTACCCTATAATTTCCCCCATTTAATGTATGTTTAATCTCTGGCTTTGTGTAATCATATTATGACAGGCATTAGGACATTTTCTATATATTGCTTTAATTGGCTTATTGAACTTCTGACATCTATTGTTGAGTTGCTTTTCCATATTTCTTAGTTAACACTCCATCGTGTTTATTTTTGACAAATATTTTCTTCCAGTGTGTGCATAATTAATCTGAGTGGGGTAAACTTATGTGTAGGCATATACACACAAGCATGTTTGTGTGTGTGTGGAGGTCACAGGTCAAGCTTGTGACATATTTACTTCATTTCTATTCTGTTTAGAGATAAAACATTTAAAATTATAATGAAATACAGTTTGCTATTTTTTCTTTCATGGGTTATATCTTTCATATTATAACTAAAATACCACTGGTAAACCTAAAGTTACCCTGATCTCTTCCTTTCAGGAACTGTAGTTTTTGCCCTTTGCATTTATGTTTAAGACTCATCCACTTTGCATTAATTTTTACTGAATCTATCTATACCTACCTTTTAAATGTTGATTTCTGACATATTTTGTTAGTTTGGTTTCAATTTTTGTCTCCATATTTCTTCTAGCTTTTTTAACCTACAAAATGTTAAAAAAAACAAAAAAAAAATCAATTGCTCCTGCTTCAGACCAGGACAAGCTATGGAGCAACTGATCTGATTTAAATAAAGGATACAGTCAAACTGCCTTGACATAGGAAATATGCTGCACAAATGCTGCCAACTCCAAGGAAGTCTAGCAAACAACCCAATAAGATCTGGCAGAAGTGATTTTAGACATATGTCCTGGAGTTAAAATGAACAAATTCTTAGCCCAAAAGTGAAAAAATAAGTTGGAGGGAGAAGGCTGATCAAGACTCAAATCCTGAATCATTTTAGATGTATGGCTGCCTGGCCTATACTCTACAGCTCCAGTTTATGACTAGGAAAACAATTTAATCGAAAGGAATGCAGCAAGTCTTAAGTAAACTATCAGAAAAGTTATATTAACGTATATAATACTTCATTTAATGTTTAATTTTTTTCTACAAAAACAATGTTAGCCTGAAACAATCAGGGAAGAACAGTTTATAACACTCAGAAGTATGTTGGACAGAGCACTTTGGAAGAAAAGGACTCCAAAAATCACCCAATTGTGTTTTTGTTATCACCTCTAGACATTCCTTTGAGTTTCAGAACTGCAGTTAGAACAGTTAGGTGACATCTGCAAACCGTTGTTGACAGATGTCGCAAGCTTGTGAGTCATAAACTGTATGCCCAGCTGTTTTACATTTCAGTGAACATTCTTTCCTAAGGTCCCATCTGATGACTGTGATGACATATCCAGGGTTCCCAAGGCCTGTCATCTGTCAGGAGCTCTGAATAGTTCAGGTGTGTTAATTATTCATTGATCTGAGGAAACTTAGAAAAATATTTTCTTCAACATTGTTCCTTGTAAGTTTCCAGACTTCTCATCCATTTTTTCTCTCTAAAACCTTCAAGAATTCCCCCCAACTATTTCTTTATCCTGTCTAATTTTCTAAACAATCAGAGCTAACAGAGGTTCATCATTAGGCTACAAACACTTCTTTTACAACTTTTTAAAAAAATTTTTAGATCATAATATAATTACATTTCTTCATTCCCTTTCCATACTCCAAACCCACCCAAATATCCATCCTAGCTCCCTTTCAAATACATAGTCTTCTTTTTCATCAATTCTTATTGCATGATAGATGTGTATACATATATATTCCTAAATATAAGCTTCTTAATCAGTATTCCTAAATATAAGCTTCTTAATCAGTTTATGTTATTTATGTATGTTTTCAGGACCGACCATTTGGTATTGAGTAGCCAATTTGGTGGGCTCTTTCCTGGGGAAGTTTATTTCTCCACTCTCAGCATTCATTAGTTGCCAGTAGTTCTTTGTATACACTTGAAGCCCTGTGGGCTTGTCCCTGTCTACTTTGGCAAGTCTACTGGTGTGGCAAGTCTTTGTTCAGCTCATTTTGGAGTAGTCATGTTGGTGATACTTTAAGTGTGTAGCTTCTGGCATTACTAGTAGACACAGTTTCAAAACAAATTCAATGATCTCCTAGCTCTTGCAAACTTTCTATCCCTTTTTCCTCAATATCCCTTGTATCTTAGTGTGGGATGTTTTGTACATGTTTCTATTGGGGCTGCACTCCACAACTGTTCATCTTGATTTGTTGTGGTTGTGTATAGCAGTCTCCATCTGTTGCAAAGAGATTTCTTGATCATGCAGTCTTTCAAAGGAGGGAGGCAACCAACAATCCTACCCAGTGATGACACCTGAGTCATAACGTTAATGACCAGCATGGCACAATAATCCTAATGGTGCAGTAGTAGTGAAATGCACACCTCAGTAGTAACCAACAACTCCCTAATTGGACTTAAGTTCAGCTCAGCAAGAGGGAAACCATACCTGGTACTGGAAACCTACCTAATTACTCAGTGCTAGTGAAGTCATGGGTATTGGGGGAGAATCTACAACCACTAATTTGCTAAATCACTCTAATCCCTCATAATCTAAACATTTAGCCTTATATGCAAAGATAAGTGGAGTCCTCACTCCTCATTGAGGAAAGTTCACTTTAGGAACGTTAAAACATTTAGAATGAACAAAGAGTATGGCCTTACCAATACATACAACCTTTATTTATTTGAAAGCCACTATTAAGTCATCTTAAAGCATGCATAGAACAGAAATATAACATTTTTAAAGTATCCATCAGCCAAGTATAAAAGTTGAATTACAAAGATACAAATTATTCTAACTTCAAGGGTTAGTACATTCAGGTTACCATAGTGTAAATTTAGAAATGCAATCCTTGGTCAGGGTCTTATGTAGTAATTACGAAAGTATTGGTCCACATAAATGTAAAAACTTTCTTTTGACATACAGAACTACAATTTGAAATTGTAAAAACAGTTTCTGTTTTGCAGAGAAGAAAATAAGGAAATAAGAAGAAAAATAGTTCCTTTAGCAGAAAAGTGATTTTTTTCTTTATTAGTTCAAGTTAGGGAACAAGCTTGTTTCACATGTAAGTCCCTTCTCCCTCTCCCTCCCCTCCCTACTCCCCCACTGCCATCCTACCCCCCACCCCATTCACCCACCACTTCTCAGGCAGGGTAGGGCGCTCAACAGGGGCTCTGTAGTGATGGGAATGAAGAGCGAAGGGGTCTGTACCAGGTTGGAGAAACCCACAGGAACAGTTGGCCTGAACAAGGGAGAGCACATCCACCCCAGATGCTGTCTGGGAGGCCAGTACAAGACTGATCCAGAAGCCTGAACATGGATATCAATGAGGAGGCCTCTGCACTCCAGGGAGCCTCTGGTAGTGGATTAGAAAAGTGATTTTTAAAAAGGGGAGGCTGAGCTGTAGTGGTGCTTGCATTTAATCCCAGCATTCAGGAGGCAGATCTTTGTAAGTTTGAGGCCAGCCTGGCCTACAGAGCAAGTTCCAGGGCAGGCTCCAAAGCTACACAGAGAAATCCTGTCTCTATAAAACAAACAAATAAAAAAAGATGGGGGATAAACTCCTACTCCATTTTATCAATTATAACTAACCTATGGCAGTACTAGCTACAAGTTATCCTGTGTTCCATGACCTCCATTAATTAGGTTGCAGCTATGGAAAAGTTCCAATTATTTCTTTGAATTGCACAAATTGAATCAGAGCTGAAAGAGCTATGGCATAATACACAACAAATTATCAAATCTGTGAGGAGAAAAAACAATAACCAATTCAGCCATGTCCTAAAATATTTCAAAGGTGTTACCAAAGATTCTCAGAGGAACCTAAACAGAAAGCTGAAGCAAAAGGGAATGAGAACCAGGAAGAAAAGAGAAGATTCATCACCCTGTGACTGTGCACCACCCCCAGGCTAGACCTGAGCTCAAGAACAGTTTTCTATGATGATGTCATAGTTCAAGAATTTTGGGAAAATTGTAAAATGCATTACATAAGCTTTAGGTTTGTTTACTTTCAAGTGTTTTATGTCAGAAAGAACAACTCACCTATTTCAAGAGTAAAATTTCATCTTGGTCTTAATACTTAAATTTACTAAAGTGTATGTTCCTTATCAATGTTTTAGGTTATGGATAGCCTTGTTAATGTTATTCTAGTATTTCTTACTTTGATGCTTATTTTTTTCACATGTCCAGATGGGAATAGTTTCAACTCTTAAGACTCTTTAATACGTAAAATACTTTGCTTCCTTGAATCATAGCAAACGGCTTCCTCTGGATTTTAATATTTAAACACTAGAACAGAAACTGCAATGACTACATGCTAAATCCACTAACAGATGTTATAAACTGATTGACAGAAATACAAGGCTTCTCTTGGGTATAGGAAGAGTCTCTACTTCACAGACACTGTGTGCTTAAATCTTGTTCCTTGGTTTACTTTAACTAATACTGAATGGTAACTTTTAAAGAAGGCTTTATTTTATTCATAATTACAGTCACAAATATAGTGTATTTTCATCAAAACAAAGAAGAGAGGACAATATGACTGGATATGCAGATGGTCTAGCTGTGACAAATGCAGATCCCTTGTATGTAGCATTGTTTGGAAGCTTCAATAACTTGACTGAGTTGCAATGAATTTTTATTGCTATTTGTAAAAAGTAGAGAAAAAAAGTAGAAGTGGCTCAGCAGTTCAAGCACTGGCTGCTGCTCCAGAAGGTCCACATGGTAGCTCCCAACTGTCTGAAACCCCAGTTCCAGTCCTTTGGCCTCTGTGCCTCTGTGCCTCTGTGGAAAGCAAGCACACACATGCAATACATATATAGACAGAAATTAAAATAAATTTCAAAAACACATTAAGGAAAAGGACAAATCAGAAAATTAAATGTTTTCTTTCATAAGTTGCCTTGGTAATGGAGTTTGCAAAAGTAAAGAATCTGGGAACTTGAACAGGCAAATGACTGTGGAAGTAAGCAGTCATACTGATCTTAAATTTCCTGTTACTAGTTTATTGTCACATTTCAACATGAGTCAGTAACATTGTGATGTTCTACTCAAGGACACACATCACAAAGTTGTATTGTCCTAAATTAGAATTACTCTCCACCACATCAGGTGTCATTACTAGCAATGTTGAGAGGGAAAAACCTTACATTAAAACCTATGAATTCGTTATCGGTTTAATGTGTGTATCCAAAGCAGCCTCAGACACTCTGGTTTTCAGTGTGATTGTCATAACTTACTAATAGTTTTGGCCCCAAATTGTAATTTGGCATGCATAAACACAAAAAAAAATAAAAGAAAGTCAGGAGACTCAAAGAGAACAAACAATGAATCACTATCCTCTCAAAACTAAAATTTGGCTCCAAGACAAAAGGATTAGTTTGTTTTCCTAGTATGTCATTAATGTCACGACCCATAAGCAAACATGAATCTAAGTAAGTGTTCCATTTTCAAAACAGAAACTTGGAAGAGGGCATTAAAAAGAATAAAGTAACTGCATGCACACAGCAGACACAAATAAAGAAAAGGAATTAAAGATATTCCATTTAGGCAATGATATTGTAGTAGAGTAAATCATGGTGGTTTCAAACAGACCCACATCTGGTCCTTGATATTAACTGGCTACTTCCAAGAAACTTTTGAGTGAGCGGAAATAGCAATGCATTTTACAGATTATAGGAATTCAATTACAGGACACAAGGCAGCTGTGTGGCCACTGGAGTTAAAAGAAAATCAAGAATTTTATTTAAGATTCCATTCTGATTTAATTTGCCAAATGTATCTACTCTTTTTTGATCAGAGGGGGACATGAGATGGGGATGGTCCTAACTGACATGTACAGAGAGAAATGAGAAAAGGAGCCATTATCTTTGTGAAATGCTACATATCAGACTGCTATCAACACATCTTTTTAAGTAAGGTAATTATGTTTGCTATTTCTGAAAAGGTTGTACACATTTCCCACTACTTTTTTGAGGAAGCAGGTAAGTAGGTTTGGGTATGCCTAGTCAATTCCTATGAGGGAGATGTGCTATTTGACTCTGCGTGGCACATACACAGACACACTTTTGCTCTGTTTTACTTCGTTTTATTTTTTACCTCTTCTAGTATTTTAGCAAACTAGACTCAAAAATATTTCTGATTTCATGAAAATTTTCCCTTCATGTAAAATAATATTAAATAAACAATGTTATTTTTTAATCATGAATTGACCAAAACAGCAAAGTAAACATAAATAAAAGTACAGAGACAGGCTTTGGTGGTGGATGCATTTAATCCCAGCACTCGGGAGGCAGAGGCAGACAGATCTCTGTGAGATCGAGGCTAGCCTGATCTCCAGAGCAAGTGCCAGGATAGGCTCCAAAGCTACAAAGAGAAACCCTCTCTCGAAAAAAACAAAAAAAAGTACCGCAATATTTAAGGAAGGAAAAATAATATATAAATGAAAAGTTACTACAAGAAATTAATTTATGTAAAACTTTAAATCCGAATGCTGTGAAATGTCCACAAAAGTGCTTATTTGTGTGCTTAGATGAAATTCTAATCTTTAAGTTAAGATTCAAATTAAAATGTTAATGTTTGTATGTAGACATATGTATGTATATGTATTATATTTGTGTGTATTCATTCATATGCTGAGTAGTTTCTATGTCTGTTTAGAACTATGCGTGTATTCATTTATATGCTGAGTGGCTACTGTGTTCTCTTTAGAAGTATGATTGATATCTGATTAAAAACCCTTTACACAATGGAGTACTACTCAGCAGAAAAAAACAAAGTAATCTTGAAATTTGCAGGAAAATGGATGGAACTCGAAGAAACCATTCTGAGCGAGGTAACCCAATCACAAAAGACAAACAAAGACATAGAGTAAGGGATTACCATCCTATAATCCACACTCCCAGAGATACTAGTAAACAAGGAGGATCCTAAAAGAGACAAACTTTGTCCCCTGGAGAAGGGGAAAGGGTCACCATCCCCTTAGAAAATTGAAAACATGGGAAGAGGGGGGAGGAAGCTATGAGAGTGAGAATGGAAGAAAAGGAAGGATGCAGAGGTCATGAGGAAGCAGAAACTTTGAGTCAGGTTAGATTAGAAGAAAGGACATATGACAGGTAGGATTTTAGTTTGGGAGATGGTAGAGGAGGAAGGGAGGCAGAAGGGAACTGGGATCATCATGTAATTCAATCTTGTTTGTAATTCAAATATATAAAAATAAAAATAAAAAAATACAAAATAAAAAAGTCCTAAAATACTCCAATGAACACAGGTACTAGGTAGGATCCCTAAGAAAATGACTAGGTTCAAGATGATATTTAGACCTTAAAATTGTATGTTCTCCTTATTTTTATAGCCTCTTTTTCTTTAATTGTTGTTACATACGCATGTATGCGTACATATACTATGTATTTGTAAATAAATAAATATGACCTACTCAATCAGTTGCTTGTATGTATATATTTTCTTGGCTGATCATTTCATATTGGATAACAAATTGATGTCCTTTGTTTTTAATTTGTTTTTCCTGACCACTCCTGTTCCTCAGTGCCCAGCAACACACAGTATTGGATACATGGTAATCATGCAGTTCATAGTAGTGACTGATGACCTAATAGAACGACCAAATGAAAGCAACTATGGTAGATTGAGTACATTTAAAGCACCCAGGTAAACCAGACTCCTCTAAGAGCGTCCATTCCATGACTCATCTAATGGACAACAAGCAAGGTACATCATGTACCACACCAGCTGCCATTCAGGAAGACAATCCCAAAGGAGCAATGAAAACTCATTTTCCCTAGCAAATCCACAGAAGTTTAGCTGTTGCATGTAACTTTCACTGGGTTTTTATAGTTTCTTCAGTGACAATGCATTTTAATATTTTAGGCAGTACGTTCAGAATTAATTTTAGATTTACACATTTGTCAAAATACATAATAATATTGTTGAGATTTTAGATGTTCACACATTAAAGTACCATATCAGTATATTTTTAATTAGCACATTCTGTTAAAGAGTGTTGAGTAGATTTGTTTTGTCCTTAAGACAGGGTCATGGTCTGACCTAGGTCCACTGAATTTATGTCATAGTTGTGTAGCTTGGTGTTCTTGTGGGACTCCTAACAGTAGGAAAAGGGGCTGTCTCTGACTCTTTGGTCTGCTTTTGGGACCGATTTCTTGGTACTGGGTAGTCTTGTCCAGCCGAAATATGAGAGGATATGCCTAATATTGTAACTTGATATACCAGGTTTAGTTGATATCCCTGGGAGGTCTGCTCTTTTCTGAAGGGAACTGGAGGAGTGGATCTAGGGGAGAGGGCACTGACAGGAAGAGAGTTAATCCATTCCTCTATCCATTCCTTATCTACATACTCTTGAAGCCTCAATGATATAGTGTGACACTTTGTTGTTCTCTTCACTTTACTTGTAAAGAAGCTAACCTGTGCTGGCCTTCAGGGAGTATGAGGCACCGGCAGGTTGTGAATGTAGATAGGCAGGATAAGGATTCAGAGCCCATACCCCTCTCCATGGCTTAAATCTCTGCTCAAGCAGTTCTGCTGCTGGTTGTCATGTGACTGCAACAAGCTGAGAACACTAATGACATCTAGGCAGTGTTCTTAGAAGTTCAAAGCCAGGTAGGAAGGTTCTGCAGGCAGAGGAAAAAGCAAGCTAGGATCCAGCCTTCATCACTTAAGATCTTATACTTTATGTGAAAGGAAAAGAAGGTCATTTGGAAATAAAGATATAAGCTAAAATAAATACCCCAAACAAAGTCTACTGAGAACCTGTAGATGACGCAAACCCCATATTTTGAAACTACCATGGCAGTGTTCATATAAAAGAGTGATAATTCATCATACAAAAAACCATTTTAAGACATTTTTGCCGTGAATGTTCAATGAAACCAACTAATTCACCACAGTCTCTGTTTTCATAAACTATAAACTCTGAAACAAATACTGAACATGCAATAGGAACTGAATATTTACATTGCAGAGGAAACAATTACAAGCCTTAAGTTGTTGTAGTAGTAATACTTTAGAACAGAAATGTAAATCAAACTCATTAGCATCCCTTGTTATTCAAAGTTCTTTGCTGCATCCAACGTTTTTCTAACTTGAAAAATCAATGATACCTTGTCTCCCTATTTACATAAATATGAACCCGCACCTATGTAGCAAAAGGTCAGCTCAGCTAATACCAAGAACGTATATCCTCCAGTAGTAACGAAATCTTTGAAAGATGGCAAAACACACGTCCAGAGGCTGGAGAAGTGATGAGCCTCTTGTCAACCATCATTTGTTCTTTCTGAAGCTCTGATTTGTGAAGGCTTGTCATACATGAAAAGCGTTTTTATTTTTGTAGAAAATCACATTATACATTTAGAAAATGTATTAGAAATTCTTGCAAGGGGACTAGCTAAACAGTAGTTCTTTAAATATTTCTGTAAGCCAGGATTTTATGCACCAGGCATTATGGCAAAAGCCTGTAGTGTCATTGCTCAGGGTAAAAGAAAATTCATCATCATCCCAGAATGCAGAGTTCCAGAACAAACTAGGCTACATGAAACTCTGATCCAGACAGACAGACAGGCAAGCATACAGACAGGCACAAAGGTAGACAGGCAGAGCGATATTGGCCATCTATGGTCTAGTCTTAGTCAAAGGAGTGGCAAATGGCAAAGGCCAGAAGAACATTCCTGATCTTTCATAAGTAAATGCAACTAGTTGGCTCTAATGGCTATAATATGTTTTCCTCTGCCTTCTTGCACACTGAAGCAGTGAGTGGATTCTGAAAGGAGATAAGAGCATGAGTCTTGGGGCTGGAGAGATGCCTCAGAGGTTATGAGCACTGGCTGCTCATCCAGAAGTTCTGAGTTCAATTCCCAGCAACCACATGGTGGCTCATAACCATCTATAATGGGTCTGTAGGCATGCTTTCTGACAGGGCACTCATACATTTAAAAAAATAAAGACCATCTGGGTTTGTGAAACAATTACTCTAAGATAAATGTTACAAAGGTTCACTTTTTTCCAAAAAAGAAAAAAAAAAAAACAACAAAAGACTATTCTTGAGAGTGGAGATGGTTGTCAGTAAATGGCCTGTTGTGCATGAAGGCTTAAAGATCTGATGTTGAACCAGATACCCACATAAGCCAGGCACAGCAGAATTCACTTGGAACCCAGAAGAGAGAGGTCCGGACTATGAGATAGGGACCCTTGCCAAATGATGAGCTCTGAATTCAGTGAGAAATGCCATTTCAAAAACAGTACAGACTGAGTCAAAAGGAGACTAAGGCGGACCTCTGGCCTCCATGTATGGGCACACATAAGCAAATACACCTGCACACCCACATGCACGCATATACACAACATTACCATCACCACCAAGGCAAAAGAAAGACTGTTGTTATTCCTGGTTTCTGTCTTATGTTTATCATCCTGAATATAACATGGCAACCATCTACGGAGATGAAGTAGATAACAAGATGACATAAGATCACCAGACTAGAGCAAATCAAAGGATACACAAACATCCTAGGGGTGAGGACCATTATTAATCACTCTTGCTCTCAGTGTTGAAGGAATAGCTGATATCTAGAGGACAGTGTAAATCTGGAGCAGCTAGTGCAAAAGCAGTGCTCGAACTGAAAGAATCAGGCATTCCCCACATGCCAGCCCCCATGACCTCAAAAATACATTTACAGCAGAGCCAAGCATCCAGGTTGCATGCAAGGCAACTATATCTCCCTCTCAAGAGCTATAGCCTCGAAATCTACTATTCCAAGCCTTCCCAAATCAGTGTAGGACAGAAAAAAAAGACTATAGACCTAATGAAGTGACAATGCTGTCAGTAACTAAGTTTCCTGAGTCAGTTCTTATGGTGTGATATTTTAAAAAATGGATATCGACCAGGAAATCATATTTGAGAAGAAATACAAAGAAGTGAAAGCCAAAGAAAGTGAATTGGACCTTTTGTATACAAATCCCTACGTATCAAACATTGTGGGAACATAGTCCAAGAATGGAGTCATATGATATGAGGAGACTGCTGAGTGATTGTGAGAAAACAAGACAAGAGTCTTGTGATCTCAGTTTCCTCAAAAACATAGAATTTTTCTTGGAATGTGTTTCCCTGCTCCTTCCAGGTGTAGTGGATAGGAGTGAGTTTATTTCAGATTACTCATTATAAGCGGCTATTGCATTTGTTTATATGCTTGCATGGAGAACATCTTTTTGCCCTGAGTGGCTTGCCTGCCATGTGCAGCTTGCCCTTGTGATTGTCCACTTCACTCATGTGACTACTCTTAAGCCTCGGAGTATAAATTGTCTGATGCTCTGAATAAAGTTGGCTATTGCATGAGACTTTAGTCTATCTCGTTTATTGGCCCCATTTTCCCAGGTCCCACCACATTCAGAGCAGTAAACACAGCATCATACAGACTAATGGCAAAAACCTGAGAGAAAAATGAGCAAAACAGGGGATTATACTTTACAAAAAAAAAAAAAAAAAAAAAAAAAAAAGCTGTACGACTGTATGTCTGTCCTTAAAGAGCAGCTGATTCAGAAAAGGTGACAGAAGTCCAATCCTTCCCTCAGAGGACACTTCTGGAAAGTCAAACTCTAAGCCTTTAACAGAAATTGATGTGGGATGGAGTAAGGAGAGTTTAAGAGTGTCTTATTTCTAGTCTTAGAATTCTGGTGTTTCAGAAGTGGGGGAGCTTCCTACTAAAAAGTATAGATAGGAGAACACAGAAACACAGACAAGGCTCCAAATAAATGAAGACACATTACCGCTATATTTCCTGTCTCTTTTACTTAAATAAAATTACTGAATACTGGCTAATATACCATATTTTTAATTTTTCATAGAGATTGCAGTAACAACTGTCCCAAGTTTATTGCATGCCTCAAGTCCTGGCCCAAGACAGTCTCTTCCCTTTAAAGCCAAGCTTCTCAACCTGTGGATTGTGCTGCCTTTGGGGGGCTGCACAGCAGATATCTTGACAAACATTAGCAAAATTACAGTTATGAAATAAAAAGGAAACAATTTTATAATTGAGGGTCATCTCAACAATAGGAACTCTATTAAGGGGACACAGCATTAGGAAGGTTGAGAACCACTGACATAAGGGCTTACTTTGAGGTTTATTTTGCTTTTCCAAATATGTCTTATTCCTACTAGTATCCTAAGTGATCTGTGGAATTATACTGTTACTCATCCTCTTCTATGAAACAGCCTAATTCTACAAATGGAAAACACTATTTTCTTATGACTAAATTACCAAGGCCAGGGCTGATTTCTTCTACACCTTCAACTTTCACAGTTATCAATCTTCTGGGATGACTCCTTCTTCATGTCCCTCTGTGTCTGCCCAGCTGGGGCTGTACATGACACTCCATCTAATGTATTTCTTTTACTTCTTAATTAGATTGCCTCCAAGTAAAAGTCTGTATGACATTTATCCAATCTTATGATTGATTTCAATAGTCTGTGTATCATTTGCTAACTCTTCCCCCATGACTCACAGTGTTAAGTGGAACCCCATAGGCTGAGTGGTGAAAAGAACCTCAGCAGAATTCCAGCTATCTAACCAGACTGGTACTTAGGGGAATTCACTGTTGTCTATATAACACCCCAGCTCCAAACTGTTCTTCTATTTGCCTTCTCATGTCCCTATGCTATCCTAGAAAGCAAGTGTAATTCTGGTGTTGATGAATTCATCTATTAAAAATTCACATCCCAATTACAGCCAAGGCTCCTCTCTGAGATCAAAGATCCCAGATCAAATAGGCAGACAGAGAGTCTCTCCCAAACTTCAGAACATACACAATGTTAATTTCATAATAATAGATTTTATAATAATAGGTAAACTCCATAATAGATAAAAATTTCATAATTTCAATTTTATCACAGACTACAATTTATGTTGTCTTTTTCACCTCAATGGCAAACTACTTAAAGAAAACAACAGCAACAAAGTCTTTCATGATGACTTCTGCCTGACATATTATTTCACAAACTGAACAATGACACGATGACCATGATAAAAACTAATGAACTTAAGGCATCCATATATATTGTGTAATACTTTTATTGAGAATAGAAATGACTTGGGATATTATTTCAAATACGTCTTCCATACCAAAGCCCAGAGATTCATTTGGTGTCAAGTTAAAAGAGAAAACAGAGATGTCTAGGAAATTTCAATTCAGGAACACATATGAAGACATCTAGGGAATTCTATGCAGGCACACATATGGCACTTTGAAGAATACTACCATTGATTTAGGTGACAGAATAAATAACAAACTAAAACACACCAAAGTACACAAATTATTAAAAAGTTGATAAAGAAAATGTGTTCTATTGCAAACCATAACATGTAAAGACCTACATATTTGCATACCTTTTTTCAAGAACAAATTAAGAAAACATGAAATTTTGGAGAGGGAGGCACTGGAAAGATTTGGATGGGCAGAGTGGAGGATGGATATCATCAGCAGAATACATTGTATCCATAATAAAATTCTCAAAGAAAAAATTAAAATACTATAATTAAAAAGTCTGATAGCTACCCAGAAAGACAAACATGAGCAATGCCTTGCTCAGCTATCATTGGAGAATCTTCTTCCTGCAGCAGATGGGAACAAACACAAAGACCTACAGTCACACATTATTCAGAGAGTGAGAAAGCCTGGAACACTTGGCTGGAATTGGAGTCTCCATCAAATCCCTTCCCTCAAGTCTCAGGGAACACTTCAGAAGAGGCAGAAAGAGATTGCAAGAGCCAGAGGGAATGTAGGACACCAAGACCCTTTGGTGTTCTCTAAATCAACATGATCAAAACACAAATGAACTCATAGAGACTGAGGAAGCATGCCAGGGCCTGTATGGGTCTGCACCAGATGGGATTTTAGAGCTGAAAGGAGAAGTGGACACATGGCCCCATCCTAACCAGGAAGAGACAAACTATATTTAAGGGAATATACTGCATGCCCAGCAGAATATGGCTAACGAAAATGAAATCAGTGGCATCTTGGAGGCTCCTC